GAAAAACAGCAAGTGCAGTGAGACAGTGTTGAATTGGTTCAATAAACTCTGAGGACCAACGTTAAAAAAAAAAAAAATAGAGGGGCCAAGGATTTAGCTCAGTGGTTCCGCTGCCTGCTTCCCAAGTGCAAGGATCTGCGTTCGATCCCTGGTACCAAAAAAACCCAAACAAACAAACAAACAAAATGAAAGAAATATTGTATCAGAATTCCTAAAGCCACACTCTGCTTCTAGTTACATATAACCTGAAAAGTATGTTAGATTGTGTCGGTACCAAAGCATGGGTTTTAAGGAGCAAGGGTTTTAGTTTATCATAAATGTACTGTCTCTTGTTCTTGTTCCCAGGAAAGTTTGATCATTATTTCTTTTCAGAAACTCATACAAGAGTTTAGCCAATAGGCCACATCCAGGAATCCACAGCTAACAGTAGCTAAACCTAGGAAAGCACAAAGTTGGACAGTGTAAATGGCCTATATTTACTCTGCTGAAAGAACTTTAGACATTGAGATTAAAACAAACCCTAGGTAGTGGACTTTTTGGACCAGAAATTGGCCCTTACACATTGAGACCCTCTTAGACTTCAATATCCCCTATCAGCCAGGAAATTTAAAGTCTGAACCAAATGATCTTGAGCCTCTGTTAGAAAAGAACAGATAAGATCATCCATATATTGTATAATAGCCCCATATGTTAAGGTTATATCATTTAAGTTCCTAGCCAAAGCTTGTCCAAAAATATGGGGACTGTTCCTGAATTCTTGGAGAAGGACAGTCCAGGTAAGCTGTTTGTTCTAACCCAGCTTCATCAATCTACTCAAGGCAAAAAGGAATTGTGACTCAGGGACCATGAGGATGCAAAGGAAAGCATCTTTAAGATCTAGGACTGAAAAACATTTGGTATTTGAAGAATTCTGATCCAGCAGAGTATAGGGGCTAGGCACCTCTGGATACATAGGAATAATTGCCTCACAGCACAGGGATCTTATACTAAATTATAATCACCACTAGGCTTCTTGATGGCAAAAACTGGGGTATTACAAGGTGTCTGACAAACCACTAAAAGTCCATAGTGAAGGAATTTATTTATAAAGGTTGTAGCCCTGTTAGGGTTCAGGATGAAAAAAATATTGTTTACAGTGTGGGGAAGGCATGAGGACCTCTCAGCTAATTACTACCAGGATAGCAGTTCTAGCTTTCCTAGGCATGTTGGTGGCCCATAGCTGGGGTTGATAGGATGGTCAGTAAAGATAAGAGTCATTATCAGCACTGCTGGGAGAGCCAATCATTGCCATAACTGTGGGGCTGCTAGGTGGCCCAAAGATAATTTGAGCCTCCATCTTTATTAATATGTCTTGGCTGAGTATGGGGACTGGACATTCAGGCATCACTAAGAAGGCATGGATAAAGAGAAAATTATTCATAATTTATTCCAGAGGAAGAATAAAATGTTTGGTCACCAGAGGCTCACTGGTGCCTGTAACAAGACAAAAGTCAGAAGCTAAGAGTGTGCAATAGGAGGTAAGAGCAGAATGTGAGCCCCGGTCTTATCTGTGACATCCAATGTTACCTGAGGCTCCATCCCACTGATGATAATCATTAGATTGGGGGCTAACTGGAGCCTTGGCCCTGCTCATACCAGGGACAATAGCTGGGGCTCTGGACCAGGGATCCTTTGATCCTTGGGGCAGTAGGCCCACCAGTGCCCTGTTTGCCACATTTAGGCAAAGTGACTTCGGCAGACATCCAGCATTAGGGCAATTTCTCTTCCAGTGGCCCATCTGCCAGCAGTATGACACTTAGTATCTTGAAGTCTTCACAGAAGAAGCCAGCAGGTAACATTTAGTTGCCCTGTGATGCAGTGAGAAGCTCTGCATGCTTTTCTATTGGTCTTGTTTAGTCTTAACATGCCCCTTTCTTTTGTTCCTCCTCTATCCTGGTTATAAAAATCAGAATTAGCAGCATTTAGGAATTTCAGTTCTCAAAGACATCTTTAGCAATTTCCTCCTAATACTTGGAACTGACTGCATAAGAAATCTGTCTTTAAGGAAGACTTGGCCATCATAGGAGTGAGGGTCAGTTATAGTATGCTTTAAATAGCTTTAAGTCATTCAAGAAATGTAGTTGGGTTTTCATTTGGGCCCTGATCATTTGGGCCCTGATCATTTGGGCCAGCTTAAAGTGATTTACAGGTTTGACTTTACTGGCCGTTAAGACTTCTAGAATGCAAATTACAAAATGTCTGCAGTTCCACATATTATCGGGGTCAATACAGTCTCACTTAGAGGGTCTACAGGTACTGCTTCAGGCCCTATAGAGTATCTATAATCTAAAGCAGTGGTAGGAAATGAATGGAACATATGTTATTGTGTTTTTAAGACAAAAGATGTTAATGTATGATTTGTTTTTTCTAAACTAAAACCTCAGTATTCAGGTTTAATTGCATGTTGGCACTTTGTGAAAAGTGGCTTTTGGGTTGCAGTTTGAGCACTCAGTCTCTAAAAGGTTTACTGTCACTGACCTAGAGTATGTATGTCTTCAGCATAACATCCGATCCTTGCTTGGAACCTTTCTGAATTTGTAAGAGTCTGTCCCAGAATTACAATGACATTCTTCTAAGACAGTTTATAACTATGAAGATGTCAGAAGACATCCATATATATATCCCCGCCTCAGGATCATCTGAAAAAACTACCCAAGTCCTGTTTGATTTGCTTTAGGTCCTGAAAAGAGAAAGGCTGGTGAGCTCTAACTGGTCCGAATTCACCCAACACCTCCTGAAAAGGGCATATAGGGACAGGTGAGGCCATAACATTTGCTGAGAGTCTTGAGTAAGGAGCTGACACCCCTTTTTGCTTGAATTCTGAACATTAGGGTTATCTAGTTATCCTCTCAGTTAGGAGGTGGCTCTAGAGATAGAAAGTCATCCAAATGAGGGGGTTCCATTTTATTTGTGAATGTCATTACACCTGGATCTAACTTACACTGGGAATATAAATAAACCAAAGAAAGCTTGCAGAGAAGATGCCTTCAACCACTTTCCTGCCTTTTTACAAAAGAGGTCTAATTGGAGTATAGTCATAGAGTGTACTGAAAGGCAAGTTAGGATACATCTGTGAGGAAAAGAATACATGGCTCAAAAAAAGGGCATCCTCCTTCCAAGGAGAAGGAAATAAATTGGTAGGAGCTGCAAAAAGGTATCCCTCTTTGTCCACCTGTAGATAGAGATCAAGCGTAATCCATCTTGCTTGTGTCCCAGATCTGGGTGGCTGGCCTCCATGTTCTTTTTATAACTAATGGCTGACAGAATACTTCTCTCATCAGATGACGTACTACTTAGTATTCTGCCAATATCTGCATGGAAGAGGCCCAACTCATTTCCCAATGTATACACTGATATACACCACCTAACACATAACAAAAGATTATAGCTGTCTTTGACTCCATTAGCACATGAACGAGACTTAACTGATATTCTATACAAAAAAAACTCTTTCATTATTGCATATTTAGGTAAAGTTAGCAAAGCTATTAACAGTATGCCATCTTCTGTTCAAATGTGGCGTTACTCATCAAAGTGGAGGAAAAGACAACAGAAACTCTAAAGAACTCTAGAACAGAATGCCAAAACTTAGGGGAAAACAAGCTTCACATCACAGTGCTGATGAGGGTAGTTTATCTGAGGCAAAAAGTCTCATATATTTTGGAACAACTCCAAGCCTGCGGACTGCTGCAGCACAGCATAAACACAGAAAAGAAAGGCTCATGATTTTAATCCAAAGATAGAGGCAACAGGGAGAGCTCATCTTACCACTTGATGAAATCAGCAATCCAATTAACAGAACCAAAGGTGTTACTGGGAAACTGGGACCTAACAGGGTGAGGGTCCTTGTGCTTGCGCAGCAGGTGATGAAACCACATTTTTTGTGTTTTTGACAAAAGACTTCAGACAAAAAGACACGCAGGCTGTCATACAGAGTATAGGTAGGTTACTGCAAAATGGTAGATTTCCACAGAGCAAGAGAATACACCTTCAAGCATTAAGATGGGCAAGCACCAAAAATACAGTTGCAATGAATGAAGCCTCATATTTATATAATTAACTGGGGCCTTTCAAAGAACATCCTTTCCTTCCTCTGAGATCACTCTGTCCTTTTACAAATAAAATGGGCCGTGTTTACCCACTTGACAGAGAAGTAGGTCTCTGATTGCTTTTAAGTGGATGTCTCTATTTGGTTTGAAATCTTGAGGTTTTTCCAACCCCTCATCCAAAGATTTTGTAAGGGCCTTGAATCTTATCAGCATGCTCAGAGGATGTTACATTCCCTTGAGCTAAAGTTTGAAACTACAAGCTTGTGTGAATTTTATCTGCAGCTAATGATTAAGAAAGTGACGGAAAAAGGAAAATCACGTCTTCTTTTTCAAGTAGCCCTCAGGCGATTCCCTCGCCTGGTAATCACTTTCTGCCTAACAATAGGGCTTAATAGCTTTTTATTAGATTTTCCAAGGACTTCGCAATTTCCCCAGAACGAAGAGTCCCAACTCTGACCCAAGTTGCTTGTCTCACCACAAAATAAGAATCTCGTAAAAATCAGATTCACAACAGAAGACAAAAAACACAAGCACACAGAAGGGTAGGAGGGCAAGAAGTCTCCTCGGTCACCCCTCGAGAATTCTCGCAAATACTGCTATTCACCGACAAGGTAGTTCTGATACATATTTCTGATTTACAGTTTGGCACTAGCACCCAGGACCAAACCCCAGTCCTCATCTGCTCAACAAAACCCAAATTGCCCAATTCCCGGATGAAAAGTTCGGACAAGAGCAAGCGGTAGGTGAAGCCGGAGGTTGCCAGCAAGCGACACATAAGAGTCACCTGACCCACTCGCCCGGGGCTGAGCTCAGCATTAGGACCCACGCGAGACGCCCGGTCCCGACCAGCAAAGTCCCCAAGCCAATCCTTCCCCAGCTCAGCTGGCGGCGGAGGGTGGGGTGGGACGTCACCTGAGGACTGTTGCTGTCGTCCCCTTCCCGCACCCCTGGCACCCGGATGTTCGTTCCAGCACCGGTCTCCGAAGCGGCAACGGCCTTGAAGGAAGAACTGACAAATGGTCATTGCAAGGGCCCAGCCACTGCGTGGCCGGTTGGGCCGGGGAGGGGGGGTCTTCAGGCAAGACCAGCTAGTGAGTACCCCCAGCAACGGAACGCGCCCGCCGACTCCTATGACGCCATCGTCTTGCGCCGGAAAACGCGTTTTTCATCTAGTCCCGCTCCTAGTGTGATGAGAGGCGTGGATGTTACCCAATAGGATTGGAGAACAGCGAGTCTCTGCAGACGCGCGGGTGTGGCCTGTGAAAGGGGATAGTTGAAAGAGTACGTGGAGAAAGGGAGACGCGTTTGACCTGGGTACAAGGTTTTGAACTTCAAGGACGCTGGAGATCGGGAATGAGAGGAAATCAAATGTAGCACTTCAGCAAAGCCCCGAGGGAAGTATTGATGTGATTTGAGAGATAATGTCATTTTTAAAATTTGTAACTGCTGAGAAAGAAAAACTCGTGCAGACCAAGTGAAACTCCCCAGCTATTCATCAGGATAAGAGTCGGAGAAAGCCAGTTGTGACGTGAATTGGAAACGTTTCCTACCAGAACGTGTGACTGAGAAGGATCATCATAACTCCTGCCTTGCTACCCGCTGAGAAATCTTGTTTATTAAAGTCCACATAAACAGTGCTATTAGAAATTGAATCAGAATGAAACATCCCATTCTTGCTCTCAGGAGCTAATGTCACCTTTAACACAGAGAAGCAGCCTCAAATTTTACCCCGGTGCACAGTGTCAGATAAAGGATTTCTGAAAACAACATTCCATATATTCTTTTTTTTTGGTATTAAATTATTTTATTGGTACATTGTAGGTATACAACACAATTACATTTCTCATTGGGAATTGTACCTTTACATAA